AGCACTTGGCTGCTAACCAGAAGGTCATCGGTTCCGAGGAGTGGCTGGTGGGTTTGAACCGCCAACCTTCTGGTTAGCAGTCAAGTGCCTTAGCCACTATGCTACCAGAGCTCCCATCATCCCTCTTAGAATATTGTAATCCCAATTTATGACTGGGTTCTGTTCCTCCATGGTAAGTCTTCTGATGCAGTCAAATACTTTTTTTTTTTCTTCTGGTTTTCATTATTATTGCCTTTTATTATCAGTAAGGAGCTCTGGTGGTGTAATGGGTAAAGCACTTGGCTGCTAACCAGAAGGTCATCGGTTCAAACCTACCAGCTGCTCTGCAGGAGGATGATGAAGCAATTGACTTCCATAAAGATTCACAGCCTTGGAAACCCAATGTAGGTTTCTATGAGTTGAAATTGACTTAGTGGCAGTGGGTTTGGTTTTTGGTTTTTATTACCAGTATCTTTATAAATTTTGATCTTTCAGCATCTGTGACTGAACATCTGAGATTGATAAAATCAGTAAATTATGAGCTCCAACATTGTATGAAGTACATATTACTAACCATAATTGTACCAGAGGGGGGGAAAAAAAACAAGTTATGAGTGTTGTTCCTTACAACTTGAATATGTTGGTACATCAGGGACTAACTGTAATGCTTAAAGTCTTTTGTTTGCTTTCTTAATCCTGTTAATTTTTCTGTTTATTGTGTGTAGTGCTTCATTTTTTGGTATTGCACTTTTTTTTCTCATATATTTGCTGACTCTTGGGTGTATGCTCATCTTTGACTATGAGATTTTCAGACCCCCATCATATAACCTGTTTCTGTTTACTGTAGCCTGACTTTTGAGTTTATGAGGTAGGGTTGGGATATGTAGCCAGATAGGATGTGAGGATGGTTTGTCTAGTTTTTTACAGGCTGTTTGATCCACCTGAGGGTCAGTAGCTACTTAAGCACTACCTTGCTTCTCCAAAAGGAGCTCTGGTAGCATAGTGGGTAAGACATTTGGCTGCTAACCAGTCAGTGGTTCAAGCCCACCAGCTGTGCTGTGAGAGGAAGATAAACAATCTACTTCCATAAAGGTTTACAGCCTTGGAAACCTGATGGGGGTCACTATGATATGAGTCGGAATTGACTCTATGGCAATGGGTTTGGCTTTTATTTATTTATTTTTTTGGTTGTTTCTCTAACCCCAGTAAATGATTCAGTTCATACGATAGCTGCCCACTGCTGAGCACAGCAGAAGAACAGGGAAGGGATGACTGATTTGGTGCTCCACATGCAGTTGTCTAATTAATCGAATTGATAAATGCTCCCGGATTCCTTCCACCTCTTCATATCTATTAACTCCAGGGTTGTAGTTCCTGCAGACTTACCTCCACAACTGTCATCTCTATGCATTATATTATTGTTTCTTTTAGGTACATTCTTCAAAAAATTTGATCTTCTCTGGTAATATATTTCAGAATTTATTAAAAATACATTTCTTCTGATAGTAATTTTCCCTGATTTTTAATGCTATTAAAATGTACTTTGTTTATGTCTATCTATCATCTATCTATCTATCTATCTATCTATCTA